ATCTCTTCTTAAAACCCTGCACTGTTGGAGCATCCACAACTTCTGGAAGTAAACCATTCCTCTCTCGAATTGTTCTCACTATTAGGAAATTCCTCCTTAATTCCAGGTTGCTTCTCTCCTGGGTTACTTTCCATCCGTCGCTTCTTGTCCCGCCTTCAGGTGCTTTGGAGAATAGCTTGACTCCCTCTTCTTTTGCGGGCAGCCCCTCAAATACTGAAATTACTGCTATCAGGTCACCCCCCCCCCCCAGTCTTTCTCTTCTCTTTTCAGTTCCTGCAGCCATTCCCTGTAGGTTTTAACCTCCAGGCCCTTAGTTTTGCCCAACTCTGCATCTGATCTTGGCCTTGGGACTGTGGGAACCCCCCCACGCCCCTCCCCCCACAGCCCGAGGAGAAATGAGCTGGGTTGGCTGGAGCATCTGCTCCCTCTCAAACTTTCTTCCCCCCCCCCAAAAAAAAAAATAGAAAAGGAAAATCAGTCGGTTTTGCGCTTTTCTTTCCCTACCTTGTCAACGGACAGAAGACCCGTCAGCTCCCTTCAGGGCTGTGTCAGCCCTTTTGATTTCCTTAACCCAGTTCTCCGCAAAAGAGGCCGGGATTCATTGTTCCCCGTCAGGTCCCCCGCCTTCCTTCCTCACCCTCGCCTCGCTTCGAGGACATTTTCTGGAAAGGGCTTCAGCCTCTGAAGAAAGATTTGCTGGCAGCCACAAGCACAAAAAAAAAAAAAAAAAAAAGAGAGAGAATCCAAGAAAAGAGAGTGTGAGATGGACAGAGAAAGAGAGAGAGAGAGACGGCTTGCCTGGGGTGGGAACCTTGCAAACAGTTTTCTTTCCTCTTTTATTATTTTTTGTGGAGTTTCTGGTTAGGCTGCTGTTTCATCTTGGGTATTTTTCTTGATTGGACTGGAAAGGCGGGGGAATTCTCTTCTGCAACCAAGCCCGCTACCTGAAGGATTCCGGTCCCCAGAAGAAAAAAGACATTCTTATTTTATTTTTTTAAGTCGTTTATTGAGCTGATTTTCCACCCATCTCATAGCAAACGACAGTGGGTATCGAAAGGTGCAGGGGGGGGGATTCCGCCCGCCTGAAATCCTTCGTGGGTGGAGGAAATGCTGCCCGTCTTGCTACTACATTGGAACAACCGTTCCTTGAGTAGTGACCATTCAGAGTTTAAAATGGGGCTGAAAAAACTGACAGGAACCATTTCCCCCCCCCCCCCCCCACACACACGCTTAATGACCGTCTCAGCATCTCAGTGGTCATGGCACCAAAATCTGGACACTTGGCAACTGTATTTATGATAGTTGTAGCATCCCAACATTGTGGCGAGCGAAGTCAGTGGGGAAGGCAGAGCTACTCAACAAAACTTGTGTTACTAAGTTTATAATGCAGCGATTTGCTCAACAGCCATGGCGGGAAAGGTTGCAAAATGGGACAAAACTCACTTAACGACCGTCTTGCTTAGCTACAGAAATTTTGGGACTCAATTGTAGTCGAACATCAAGGGCTACCTGTAATTCCAAGGTTGTGGGAGGAAGGACACAGGATACTGCTGAGGTGGTGGGACACCGGGGTGGATGGACCTCCGTGCCCTATGAGGGTAGCTAACCTACATACACAACTGTAGTTGTCATCTTTCTTCCGCATCACCTGTTGGACTGGACTTAAGGCATCTTTTTGGTCAGTGAAGGTTGTGAAAGGAGTTCCAGAAACTCATGGATCTTCTCCATCCTCATTGATGGGTCCAATCCAATCCTTGGGGGGTCGTGATAGCTTGCGCATGTTTCTAATAGCTTGAGCAGAGAGGCGTCTTGCTTCCTCGCAGGCTTGTTGTGTCCTATGTGAAAAGGGCAGTGTGTGTGTGTGTGTGTGTGTGTGTTTGTGCAACATCATAGGAGTTGAATGAACTCTATCCTTCCTGGAGGCCACCATGCTGTAGTAGGCTGGGTTCAGGAGGGATCGATACCGCGACCTGAGTTCTGCAGTTCCTTCCATGACAGGTATCTCCTGGACCGTCCTACCCCAGATATTGGTCCTTTGTCTTCTACTGAAGTTGGGTTAGGAAACCTTTTCCTTTCTAAGCTATGGACCTCCAGGTCTTCTCTTACAAAATGCCTAGAAGAGACTGTCCCAACCCCGGCACCTTTAAGACACGTGGACTTCAGCTCCTAGAAGTCCACGCGTCTTAAAAACTTGCCAAAGTGGGGCGACCCCTGGCATCGAAGTTTCCTGGAAAGTCGATGCAGAATGATTTGGGCATCTTCCCTTCTCCCTTCCTTGTTCCTCGCTCTTCCCTCTCCACGTGGTTCTTCGGTGCCTGGTTGGCCCCTCTTGGTGTGTGTAAGTGTGTGTGTGTGTGAGATGTAAGCGTGATGCCTTTTCTCTTCCAGTGACACGGCTTCTTTTTCTCATTGTTTCAGGCATGAGCCATGAGCCAAAGTCACCCTCTCTAGGAATGCTTTCAACAGCCACTCGGACTACCGCTACTGTCAGCCCCCTGGCCCCGTCTCCCATCAATGGCGCCCTCGTGCCCAGTGGCAGTCCGGCTGCCAACAGCACTTTACAAGTCCAGGCTGTGCCCTCCTCCAGCTTTGCCGCCGCCTTGCGCAAACTAGCCAAACAGGCTGAAGACCCCAGAGGTAAGAGAGAGAGAGAGAGAGGGGGAGGGGGGGGAGTGGATGGTGATCCTTTGGGCTCATAGATCGAGGTGGGCCCAGCCAGGTAGGGCGACGTCAGTAGAGACAGGAGGCATCCCAGCCCTCCCCAATCTCAGGATCTCAGAGGATCTGCACACAAGAGTTTGGGACTTTGTGGTAGGTTTCCTGTTCCTCCGTCCTCTTACAAGTAAGAGTGGGTCTGCCACCCTGAAGAGGAGGGTTCACCTTATTCTCCAAACAGCACCTGAAGGCAGGAGAAGAAGCAACGGATGGAAACTAATCAAGGAGAGAAGCAACCTGGAATTAAGGAGAAACTTCCTAATGTTGAGGACAATAAGCCAGTGGAACTGCTGGCCGCCAGAAATCGTACGCTCTCCATCAGTGGAGGCTTTAAAGAAGAGTCTAGACAGTCACTTATCTGAAATGGTATATAAGTTCTCGTGCTTGAGCAGGGGGCTGGACTAGAAGACTTCCAAAATCCCTTCCAGCTCGTTCTATTCTATTCCAAGTCTTCAGTGTTCGCCAATGATACCATTTCTATGGCTGACGTTGAAAGGTGAATAGCTAAAGGTGCCCTTGAAATAATTTAGGTCCCTTAAGAAGGGACAAATTCACTTAACGGATATTTCACTTAGCAACAGAAAAGTTGGGCTCCATTGTGGTGGTAAGTCAAACACTGACTACCTGTTTTTGCGTTTTGCCCCCAACAATCTGGGTCCTCATTTTACTGACCTGGGAAGGATGGAAGGCTGAGTCCACCTTGAGACCCATGAGGATCGAACGCCTGGCTGTGGGCAGAGTTTGCCTGCAAGGCTGCATTTGAAGCACTCCGCCAGCAGGGCTAAATGTCTTTGCCATAGAACCGTGATGGCGAACCTATGGCACCAGTGCCAGAAGTGGCACGCGCAGCCATCTCTCTGGCCATGCCAGCCATTGCCCGTTGCTCTTTCAGGTTCTGCTGTGCGCATGCATGCCAGCCAGCTGGTCTTTGTGTGTGCAGGAGTGCCAGAAACTGGAAGAGGAGCTTCCTGGCACGCATGTGCACTCCAGGAAGATGAACTCCTGGCCTTTGTGTGTCCATGTGTGCCTGAAAGTAGAACAGTGGTTGCCAACCAGTGGGCCGGGGAACACTGGTGGTCTGCAAGAAAATTTTGGTGGTCCGCAGAGTAATGTCGCCCCAACTCCCCTCCCAAAGCAATTAATCCAGGTTGTGTGGGAACACAAGGCAGTGCCACCCACATGGCCCGCGGGAACACAAGGCTTGCGTCGCTGGGCTGCTTCTTTCCGCTTCTTTCTTCTTCCACTTTTGACTGCATGCAAGGAAAGCAGCAAAAGTCTTTCTTTTTCTCCCCCAAACTCCGCCAGAAATGAGTCTTTGGGACCCTGCAAGGCCTCCTGCTCCAAGAGGCTGCGCTGTGTAACAAGTCTCACAAAGACTCATTTCTGGCAGAGTTTGGGGAAGAGAAAGAAAGACTTCTGCTGCTTCTGCTGCTTTCCTTGCATGAAGCCAAAAGTCTCTCTGCCTCTCTTTCTTCCCCTGAGAACGGAGCTGGAGACGGTATCCTGCAATCTCAAATAAAGAATGACCAATCGGTAGGAAAACGGGGTTGGGAATTTTCCTGCAGACTTTTGGGGGGATTTTCCCAGGGTCTCTGGCCCAGGGGATTTAAAATTATGAGTTTGGTGGTCCCTGAGGTCCAAAAGGTTGGCGACCCCTGGACTAGAAGACAAGGTGACCGGCACACATGCGCACACTGGGGGAACTGCTCTTCCAGTTTCCAGCCCTCCCCCCCCCCCCCCACACAAACACACTCTTGTTTTGGCACTTGGTGCTGAAAAGGTTTCCCAACACTGCTCTAGAACCCTGCTCTAGAGAGGCCAAGCACCCCACATCTCCTTTGAAAGCCCCACACAAACTTTCGGGACAGCAGTCATCATGTCTGAGCCGGGAGCCTTGCAAACGCATGGGAATATCCAGGCTTTCTCTGACCCTTTGGCCAAAGAGTCCTCCTTCCCAACTAGATAGGGTCCTGCAGCCGTCTAGGCAGCTTAGCCAGGACATCTGCAGGAGATGGGCCTCCCAGTTGAAGCCCCACCCACCCCTAATGGATCTTGCAAGTGCAACAACACCCTGGGGGGTGGGGGAAATAAGAGAGGAGGACTTCAAGCATGCTGTCACAAATGCCATCGTGACCTTTTGGGCTTCCCTGGAGTCTCTCTTTGGCCTTATGACATTCTCCGTCCTTCACCAAGCCAGCAGGAGTTTCAGAGCCCTTCTCCTCACCCCTGACAACCCTGTGAAGGATTAGTCATGAGCAGAGGAAAAGAAGTTGTTTGATGGGAGGTGGGGTGGAGGTGGAGAGGAGGCCTTTCCCATCTGGTTTCTAAAAACCCCCACCCTTTCCTTCTCATCCTGTAGGTACTAGGGGCAAAAAGTGCTGAATGAGTGAATGTATCGACCGGTGTCCTTATGGCCATGACTACTGGTTAATCATTGGTAGGGCCCAAGCCGTTGAGGTCAGTGTAGACGTGACACAACTGACAGGGCTGGAAGAAGGCAAGCTTCGGAAGGAGACGTCGAAGAGCAGGAGGGTCAGAGGGTGTGGAGCAAAGGCTGAGGACCAGGAGAATGACCTTGGTTGGAAAGATCTGGAGGATGAAGGGGCTTGAGAAAGAGGGAGCAGGGGAAATAAACTCTGTGCCTTCACGGAGTTCTTAAGACTCAGAAATGCTGGCTCTATCCTGGCTGGTTTCCTGCACGTTTTTGGATTGTCCAGGAGCCTAGCTGGTCATGTCAAAAAAAGCCCGAGACAGGAAGAAGATTCCCTGACCTGGAAGCGACCCCTCCAACAGGAGTAGGGTCTCCTGCTTGGGCAGGGGGTTGGACTAGAAGATCTCCAAGGTCCCTTCCAACTCTGTTATTCTGTATTCTGTAAGGAGTGACTGACGGAAGGTTTTGATCACTTCTTTCGACCCCCCTCTTCTCTCTCCCACCTTTTACCCAAGGGGCCTTTTTCAACAGAGGTTCTCCAACTGGGGTCTGAGGACTTTCGGAGGCCCCCAAGACCCTTTCAAGAGCTCCACAAAGTCAAATCCATCAACCCTTTGAAAATGTCTCCATTTTAATTTCTCACATTGTCAGTATCGACGGCTAGAAAAGGACCTACGTAGCTCTTTGGGGTCTTCAATTCGTCTTAAAGGCTGTCCAAGGTCCTGGAGACCAAAAACACGGGAGAACGGACGCTCTAATTCCAACCACCCCAGGAAGTTCTCCAGGCCTCTGTCCTTGCGTTCCTTGATCTCCTCATCTCTGCCACGGATTCCTCTCCCTTCTCCAGTAGATGGAGATTCCCCAAGAGATGATGGGCAAGAGGCTGAGAAGGACCCACCGGGACTTTCTGAGCCGGCCTCTCGCACCTCGCAAGACAGAGAAGGAGAGAAACGCCCTGTCCTTCTAGAAGGACATCCGGTGCTCCGGTGTCTAATTCTGGAAGGAGGAAATTGCTAGTTCGGGACTGGCCATTGGCAGCAGCGGGGACCGTTTTGCGAAGCAAGCCTGGGTGCTTCTCCAGCCCCGTCATTTGTGGAGCCAGCCAGGTCTCCTCCTGGCATTCCTCTCCTCGCCCATCCTCGCTCCTTCCTCCCCGTTCAAACGCTTGTTTTATTTTTAGCCCTTGAATTCTCTTCTCTTCCCCGCCGCTTGATGGGCTAATGTCTTTCCTCGGCATTGTGTCTCGAGGGGGCAGTTTAAAAATTCAATTCAGACGGAGTAATCCAAATGCCATATCATTTGTTGTACCCCCAGAGAAAGTCTGAAGTGAGCAGAGGAAAAGAATCTGTCCTTTCCCCTGCAAATATAGGTCTCATTGCCGCTGATATGCTTCAGTGAAATTTTATTTTTCCTAAGGCTCCTAAATCTGTTCTTTCACCATCCAAAGCTCCTCCGCTAAATAGCAAAGTCGTCGTCGGCTGCTGGGTGCCGGGATGGTGAAATGCACATCTGAATATTTTGCTCTTTAATGGGCTGTTTAACTGGGGCCCGGTTGAAGGCAGGAGCCAGCAGGAAGAGACGGGGATGGAAGTCAGCCGAGCGGCAGAGAGAAGCTTGCTGGGGTGGGAGGAGGAGGAGGAGGAGGAGGAGACGACAAGGAAGAAGAGGAAGGGAGGAAGAGGGGGGAGAAGGAGAAGGGGAGAAGGAAGAGGGGAAAGAACAGGAAGAGGAGAAAGAGGGGGAAGAGAAAGGAGGAGGGAGGAGGAAGAGAAAGAGGAGGAGGAGGAGGGAGGAAGAGGTGGAGAAGGAGGAAGAGGGAGGGGAGAAAAAAGGGAGGAGGAGGGAGAGGAGAAGGGGAGAAGGAGGAGAAGAAGAAATAATTGACTGTAATCTAGATTGGAGGGAAAGAGAAAAGGAAAAGGAGAAAAAGAATAATCTAGGAAAAAGGAGGAGAACAAGAAGAGGAGGAGGAGGAAGGGTTTAATCTAGTCCAGGCCAGCACTACAAGTCAGACCGAGCCCAATCCTGGCTTCTCTGCCTGTTGAACTCTTGCCTTGACCTTTGAAAGCCAAGGTGCCCTCTTCCTCCTCCGGAGGAGATGCCAAGCAAGCCATCACCCTTAGAGGACGGCCCAGAGCCCTGGCGGATACTCCCCGAGGTCCCGTGTTCAAAGGCCACTTGCTACCCAAGATCTGTTCTCTCTGGAGGCAGCGGCCTTGAGTGACGGGTCTTTGGCGTGGAGGGTCCGTGACCTTATGGCTGAGCAGATGTTCCTTTGCAAATAAGAACAAGGGTCGGAGGGAGCCCAGCTTGAGTCTGATGGCAAATGTCCACGTTCCCTTTAAGAACGGTGAGGCTTCCCGAAGGCCAAGGGTGGGCTTTGCTTCCCCCCCCCTCTTGATGGGCAGAGAGGAGTGGAGGAGGAGGACCAAGGTGCGTCCTTCAAACCTGGGGCACCTGCACACTCGGGTTCCCAAGGTTAGCATCAAGG